GAGTGAACTGCCCCCCAGCTCTGGCAATGGGGATGGGGGGAGGGACCTGCAAACCCTTAGTTTGTTGTGTGTGCCCCATGGCAGGGAAGACTCTAATTGTGGATACTGTTGGGATCCCTGAACCCCAGTGTGCTCAGGGCTGTGCCTCAACTGGGAATGGCCAGATCCTGTCATTACCTGCAGGGTAAAATGAGGCATGCCAGCATGGCGCAGGGGAGGACGCACCAGTGTCTGGGTGCTTGGTTGTGCATCAACCATCTTCCTCGGAAAGGATCTCAGAGGCAACAGTCAAGCTCCAGAGAGGTGCAGTGACTCCAAAACAGTGCATCAGCAGTCAGCCACCCGTGGTGTGTAGCTGGGGGTGCAGGGAGGTGAGCATTACCTGGGCGCACTGCGTGAACAGTGGCCAGATGGAAAAATTAGCAGTGTGTCTAATCAATGTGGTGGATATTAAGCACCTCAGGGTTGGGGGGTTTGCATGGTGGGGGGGAGCTGAGCAGGGTCTAGGATCGATACAGCTCATATTAAGTGGATTAAATCCTGGCTGCTGATCTGAGCCCTCACTACCAGCAGGAGGTGGCAGCTGAGCAGCGAGTGTGGGGGTCCCACTGAGATCACTTCTCTTGGCAGCAGGGCCCAGGGCGGACTGTGTGGGGACTCACCAGACCAGGGAAAGCTGAAATGCCTGGTGTGTGGCTTAGCGCTTCATCACATCCTTCCTCTGTCTAGTGTGTCAGCTAGGCTAAGGGGTCTCAGGGACCCAAGCTTCATCTCTAGAAGCCTTCCTGGCTCCAGGAAAGTCATGCCCTGGGTGAATGAGTGGTGCTAACAATGTTACTTAATCGTGGGGAGGAGGAGGAAGCATAAGGCGTATTCATGTCCTGTTAATAAACGATGTTCGACCCGCTGACCTTTAACCTGCCTGACAAGCCCCGTTATCCCCATCCCTTAAGGAATATAGATGTCACCATGACAATGGGATGACATGAGGGAGCAGGTCCCAAAGCTGCACCCAACATGGAATGTGGGATGAGGACACACTGAACTAGCCCTGCACAAGCACCTAGGCCAGCAATGCCAGGTGGCGGTGGGATGCTGCAGGGGTTCCAAGGCCAGTGGGATGGCCAAGCATGGATGGGTCCCCGAGGCCAGCAGAGCAGGGCTGCGCTGCACACTGGTGGGATATTGATCCTGGGGCTTGACAGTTTAATACTTCCGTTTATAGAGGAATATAGTTACATCGATGGCGTTAAATGAGTTACTAATTATATCAATACAAACACGATTAAAAGGGTCCTTGCTCATAGGTCACCACAAGCAGGAGCCGCTGGTTGTTTTGCACAACTGACCCTGGGCAAGGCTCAGACCACTGCTCCAAGGCACATAGCTGGGGGGATGCTCTGGGGCAGTGTGTGCCCTGTGGGGTCAGGGGTGCCCATCCATATCCATGTGCCTGTCTGGGGTTGTGCATGCATGTGTGGGACAGTACATCCCTTTCGGGAGTTCTGTGATCCTGTTTGGGGCTCTCTGTGCCCCTCTAGGGTTGAGGATGCACATACATGGTTTGCATATATGGGGTTGTGTATGTCTGTTTGGGGTTGTGCATGCATGTATGGGGCTCTGCTCACTTGGGGTTGTGCATGCCCAGCTGGGATTTGTGTGTGCCTGTCAGGGTTGTGCATGCCTGTCTAGAGTTGTGTGTTCCATTCTGGTGTTGTACATGCCTGTCCAGGGTTGTGAGTGCCTGTCCAGAATTGTGTATGTATATATGGGGTTGTGCATGCCTGTCTGCTTTTGTGTGTTCCAGTCTTGGGTTGTAGGTGCATGTACAGTGAGTGATGTGCATGTTTCATCTAGGGCTGTGCACACACATTTGGAGTGCATGCCATGATGTATGTATGGGATTGTGGATGCTCCCTGCAGTTCTGCTGCATGCCCGTGGAAGTCTGGGCACACACCAGACTGCTGTACATGCCCATGGAAGGCTGTGCACATCCAGATCCGGCTGTGTATGTCTGTGTAGGGATTTGTGCCACTGTGGGTTGTGTATGCCTGTGCATCACAGGCTTGTGCACGCTCCTGTGATGTTCTGTGTGTCCTGTGGGGCTGTGCATATTTATGCAAGGTTGTACAGGATTGTAGATGCCCATTCCACCTTCTGTGTGGCACATGGGGGGATCTGTGTCCCTGTACAGAGTTGTGCCTATGCTTATGTGGAGCTGCGCAATGCCCATGAGGGGCTGTGCACGCTCCTGTGGGGTTGTGTCAACCCACACAAGGATGTGCAGGCTTGTGGGGTTGTGCAAGCCTAGGCGTATTGTGCATGCCTGTGTAGGGTTGTATATGCTCTCATGGGCTTGTGCACCCCCACATGGGACTGTGGCAGCCCATGTGGCATTATGTACACCCAGGTGAGGCATGTGTCCCTGCACAGCAACTGTGTGTGACCCAGAAGACCTCTTGTCCAGCCTGGGCATCCCCAAATCACAGAATCACAGGATAATGAGGTTGAAAGAGACCTCTAAGATCATCAAGTCCAACCAATGCCCTAACACCTCAACTAGACTATAGCACCAAGTGCCATGTCCAGTCTTTTTTTAAACACATCTAGAGATGGTGATTCTACCACCTCCCTGGGAAGACAAATCTCATGGAACACCCCGTGCATCCCAGGCATACCCAAGGTCTATGCCGGCTTGTCACCAGTTACTCAGCTCAGCTCTCATCTCCACTTAAAAGCTGACCTTTGCTCCCCGTTTGATGTACTGTGTTTTTGCATCTCAGTGCCCCACAGATAAAAGGTTAGAGGTTAATAAACAGTGGAAAAATAGAACCTGGCCCTTGAAGGTCACACCTGTTTTGGGGGCTGGAGTCAGTAGCAGCCCACTCTAGGTGGAATCCTGCCTGCATCCATGGGAGGAGAAACACGAGTGGCACCCAGGGCAGAGGTGTGTGGGTGCTGAAGCCCATCCACTAGATGACCCTCGGGGAGGCCATGGCTTCACCTTGTAGTGGAATGAGTGGTAGTTGCCAGTTCTGGGGTTTTGCCCCCTCCTTGACAAACCAGATGTCAGGGGATTGACAAGCCAGATGTCAAAGTACTTAGTGTGGAGGCCTTCCAGAGGCAGGGACCGTCAGGAAAATACAGGCAAAGCCTGGCTGACACAGCCTTCCTGGGGCAGAAATCAAAGCAGCCCCCTGGAGCTCTGCTCAGAGCCTGACCTAGTTACTGTAATCAATGGCTCTGGGACCTCCTGGAAAAGAGCAGGCAATGGGGAGGGGGCACAGAGTGAGGCAGGGAACACTGTGGTGGAGAGGGACACACTACTGGCACCCGGGGTCAGGGCACTCCAAGAGCACCCAACTGCAAGGAGGGGATAGGTAAGTGGGGTCCAGACAGCAGGGAAGCAGTGCAGAGGGAGCTCCATGGAGCCCAGCAGTCAGCACCTGTGTGTAGGGTGACAGTCTGGCAATTGTACCCCTAGACAAAGATAGGGACAGACAGTTAGCACTGATCTGTATCTGACAAGGGACAGGCAGCTGGCGCCTGCCATTTAGACAAGGGACTGTGTTAGGTGTGTCTGTTCAGTGGTGGGAACCGTGGGGTCTCTAGAAGCATCCTCACATCCCTGTAGGTCCCCACATTCCCCCATCCCTACATCCTCGCATCTCCATGTCCCCAGAGTCTCTACACCCCACATCCCTACATTCTCATGTCCCTGTATTCATGTGTCCCCATTGCATCCCTGCATCACCCCAACTCCGTGTCCCCCGGGTCCCTGCAGCCTCACATCCCTACATTCCCGTATCTCTGCGTTCATGTGTCCCCATGGCATCCACCCCCATCCCCACATCCCCTTGTGCCTGCAGCCTTAAGCACAGCTCCCTTTATCTGTCTGGTGAATGATGTTCTGTGTGGAGCCGGGGGTGTGCTCCCTTTCTATTGTTTTTTAACAGCCTTTCCCAGCACAATTGTTTTTTAAACGACTCTATTTTGTGCCTGACTTTGTTTTCCAGCTTGCATTTCTTTGTATACGTTTTGGAAATCCATTCTGGACTGCTGAGTTTTGTTTCTTTTCAATGGCTTTAAATTCTTGCCGGGCTTGCTGGGAGGAATTGGTGTCTATAGTGTCTTCGATTGGTGCTAATTTTTCCTTCATGTGCTCTGACTTTTACTGCTGGGCCATCGATCTGCCAGGCTCCAATTTGTCATGGTCACTCAGGCACTGTGCTGGAATCAGGAGAGCCCGGACCTTCACACGGAGCCGGCACTTGGTGTCCCTGGTGTAGGGGCTGCACTCGCCTCCCCAGTGCTCCACTGTGTCCCACAGCTCAGGCTGTGTCCCTGTGTCCAGGCCCTCCAGCACACATAAGTGTCCTCGCAGCCACATGTCTGTGTCTGTGTAATCCTGTGCACTTGGCAGACCTGGCACTTGCATCTCCCTTGATGGTACCCAGTGCCATGGTCGAGCCAACTTTTCCTTTCCAAGGATGGGATCATCCCCCACTGTTCAGATGGGCCTGTGTGTCCCTGTGAGGGATGAGAGCTGATGAGGATGCTGATCCCATGCTGGGGCTTGGGGAACAGCAATACTTGGCAGTGCCAGAGCAGAGCTGAGCATCCTGGTCCCGGGGTTCTGCGTGGGGCTTGGGTTTTGCTGATGCCTCTGGGCTGTGATTCCTGCATCTAATAGGGCGAGGGGCAGGACAAACTGAGGCACATACCCAGCGTCCCTGCAGGAAAGATTCAAAATTGTGATCTGTGGGGAGCCTGTCCAGACCCAAGGCACAAGGAGAGTCCACACCCATGCAGAGGGTGTATTAGGGGATTCTGTTATTGGTGCACAGAGAACCTCTTGTTGCTGGCAAAGCAGGCAGATGGGGACAGGGGTGATGAGGGCTTCTGGCACAGGCAGTGTTTGGCCCCAGGCACTGCTCCCCTCCCCATTCTCACCTGCATGTGCTGGAAGCACTGACCCTTCTCTCTCTCCTGCCTCCAGCTGTATGAACTGGATGACGACCCAAAACGCAAGGAGTTCCTGGATGACCTCTTTGGCTTCATGCAGAAGAGAGGTAAAGGTGGGTGGCTGGGGTGGGTGCCACTGCCATTGCTGCCTCAGCTGCTGGTGGGGGGTTCATAGTGTGTTGCTCTGAGGCTCTGAGCTGCTCCAGGTCTCTGCAAATCCCTCAGGCAGCTCCTGTGTTGCTCCCCCTGGGCCTCCCCTGTCACTCCAAGCTGAGGCAGTTGTCCATGTGGATATCCCGGATATCCCGTGCCCATTAGCGATGCCTAGCAGGGATGCCCACTGGAAACACCTGGTGGGGATGTCCATTAACATACCCCTTGGTGACAAGCATTAGCAAGACCCGTTAATGTCCATTAGCAGTTTTCAGGACGTTTTAGGCATGCCCGATGGGAATGCCCTTGGTAGTGCCCTTTGGGACTCCCTGTTAGCTGCACCTAGTGGCGAGATGCCCACAGTCAGTGCCTCTCAACAATGCCTGTGATTTGCGGGAGTGGGGCCAGCAATCCGGGCTGCGACCGGGCACACAGGGGTTAAGGGCTCACCAGCCAACCCATCCTCATCGGAAATCTTTGCTATCGGCATGGGGAGCCGAGCCGGCTCCCAGGGACTCGATAAATGCTTTAACCTTCGCCCTCCCCGGCCGGGCCTGCGACAATTAAAAGTTGCCGAGTGCGGGCAGGCGTATGGCCGGCCGTATTAATTAGAGCCTTTTGCTGGTGTGTGGATTAATGAACAAGCCGCTCGATAGCCAGTAAACCCCAGGCAGAGGTTAATGCCGAGCTAATTAACGGGGAAAGGCTGAGCGGGGTGCAGGAGCTTTGGGGCTGGCTGTGCATGGGGTGAGGAGGGGCAGAGGGAGGCAGTCACCTGCACGCCCTGCCCATCGGAAGGGTGGTGAGGGTCCCCACCTGGCTGTGGGGCTGCAGAGATTGACTTTTGGGCTGGGCTGGGACACCACAAACTTGTTGCAGTCACGGGTGTGTGGTGAGTGGCTGGCACGGCCACAGGACTCTTGCTGAGGCCAGCTGTAGGCTGTGGATGGGCTGGGTGCTGCCCCATGGGTGCCCCCTGGCCCTGGTGCAGAGCTGTGGGGAGTGAGTGGGAGCATCAGCACTGCTTTGGCCCTCCAGCATCCATCAGCTACAAGATTCATGGGCTGTTCTGCAGCTTCATTATCTCTCTCTCCAGAGCTAATTAACTCCCTCGCTATTGGGGCTGGGGCTAATTAAGTAAGTGCCTGCTACTCCCTTGCTATTGGGGCTGGGGCTAATTAAGTAAATGCCTGCTGGTGTGGGGAGGAAGGAGGGAGCCTAATGCTTCCCTGATAGTGCTGCTCCACATCCTTCTGTCTGCATGTCCCATTCCTGTGCCCTCCATCCCTTCTGTCCTGCCTCCCCTCTGAGTGGGTGCCATCCCTTTGGGGAGGGCAGGCCAGGTGTGGGTGCCCAGGTGCAGATGTGCAGGGATTGGTGTGTATTAACATTTTGGAGGAGACAGGGATTTTGGACTGGGGTACCAAAGAGAAAGGCTGAGGGGCAAGGACAGCATCCCAGGGGTCATCAAGAGCTGGGTAAGAAACGGTACCTGAGAACCACTGCAGGTGCAGCTGGGGCACCCAGAGGTGCATGGGCAGGGGACTGTGACACCCAGTCTGTGTCCTAGGAGGTCTCCAGGAGGGGGTTGATGTCCACAGAGTGAGCCCTGCTTAAAGGGACTGCATCCCGCCTGCTGTCAGGACAGTATCAGCACTGACATTTGTCAGCAGAATGGGAAAGTTGTAGGGCTGAAAAATGGGTTGGGAGGTAGACCTTCTGAGGCCACCCTATGGCACAAGGACACAGCTGGCCCTGGTGTTACAACCACCGCCATCAGGTACATCAGGTACGGGGTACAGGCAGTGGGGCAGCTCATAGGCATGCCCCAACTACTGTGGCACTTCAAAGGCAGTAATCAGGAACAGAAGAGGGCTTTTTCTGCATTTGCTTACTGGGGTCTGGAGGTTCCTCCCCCCATTTCACCACCAAGCTAAATGCCCTGCTGATAACACGGGACTATTAATCAATCAAGGTGGTAATTGCAGCACCACAATGGCTGCATCACCTCCCTGGGCTTTTGTGCCCTCCGCCCTGGCTGGGGCTGGAGCCATCACTTTGTGGGGATGCAGACAGGTGCCTTTGTCAGGGGGACAGGCATCGGCCACACAGCCTGCACAGCCCTGAGATTAATGGCAAGGCACTTTCCTAAGCCACTAAGGCTAGAGAGAAGAGGAAGAGGAAGAGGAGAGGAGAAGAGGAAGAGGAAGAGGAAGAGGAAGAGGAAGAGGAAGAGGAAGAGGAAGAGGAAGAGGAAGAGAAATCCATGGGTCATTGGCTGGGGGCTGAGACCCTGAGAACTCATTGTTTGGGGGTGAGGAAGAGCCCTCAAACTGCCCCCCCCCCAGGTGATGGGTCTTGTGCCAGCAGCCCTGAGCAGGGCTGGTAAGCTACTGACAGCAGATGTCAAGTCAATATCTCTGCCTTTCTCCCAGGAGGATAAACTCCTCTCCCCCTTCCCGACCTGGTGAACAACACAGACACACACAAAAAAAAAAAAAGTTAAATGAACTCAGTAAAAGAATAAAAAGAGCTCATTTTTCAGGCTTATGTGAAGAAGCCAAGCCAATATCAGGGCCATAAATTAGGGATGCTGGAGGATGGCGGTGAATGACGGCTTCGTTTGAGGGGCGAAGCGCAGTCGTGACAGCCTCCCTTGGCCAAATGGATGGCTTTCCAATACTGCCTGTTCCCCGCCACTTCGCAGGAAGAATAAATACGGGGTGGAATGGGACAGGGTGGGATGGGATGTGATGCTTGTCCCTCCTCTGCCCAGCTTCCAGCAAATGCCCAGACCATTGTCCCAAGGAGGCATTGAGCACAGCAAGGCTGTGAGGTTATCTGGGGCTGCTGAAAAAGTGGGGAGGGTTTTTTAGCTAGACTTGGTGGCTGTGGAGACCATGTTGATCTATACTGAGCTCACAGGACCCTGGTGAACCCATGTTCCCTTGCCCTGTAGCCTCATAGAGGAGGGTGATGGTGGGTCACCAGGGGGCAGGGTCCCTGCTGAGAGCAGCTGAAGATTTGGGGTCATGTTCCTTGAAGCAGGGCACTAAAGTCCTTTAAGCAAAGGAAACTTCTGGAGCCATCTATAGGATTAAGAGGTTTTTCAGGAACTCTTTGGAAGAATCTGGAGCTGGAAGAGAAAATCTCTCCATAGAGAGATAGTAGGGTGAGCCCTCCCAGAAGGGTTGTGGGGGTCATGCCTCTTCAGAAAGGTTATAGGACGGGTCGCTATTTAAAGTGTAGATGGAGTCTCTCTTTACTGGGCTCTGAAAGAGTATTACAGAGTGAATAATTTTAGGATGCTCTGAGAGTTTCCGTAGATTGATGCTGTACAGATAGCTCTGAGAATTGTAGGGAGGCAGCTTTATCTAAAGGGTGCCTGGAGGGGTGACTTTGCCCATCCCACTGAGGCTCCATATCCCAGATGAGAGCATACCCAGCCACACTGACAGCTCCGTCAAAGGTGACTCTCTGCCAGCATGCTGGGGTCTCCCCTGCTTTTTGGCACAGTTCCATTCTCCCAGGCACCCTGGGGTCCTACCTGCCCCCCAGGTGCCCATGGGTGTTCACGTGAGCATGGAGAGATAAGACTCCCATTGCAGGTACCTGCAGTGGCGGTGGGGGGAGGGTGGGGGCTGTGATCCCAGGCACAAAGGGCGCTTGTGGGCAGCCCCCCACACCCCCTCACACCTTCTTCTGTCTCCTGTGTGCCTCTGGAAGGAACACCAGTGAACCGCATCCCTATCATGGCCAAGCAAGTGCTGGACTTGTATACACTGTACCAGCTGGTGACAGACAAGGGTGGCCTGGTCGAAGTCATCAACAAGAAGATCTGGCGGGAGATCACCAAGGGCCTCAACCTACCTACCTCCATCACCAGCGCTGCCTTCACCCTCCGCACACAGTGAGTGCCTGGCAGCATGGCAGGTGGGGGACACCACTCCTGGGATACCTGCTGGCTCAGATGCCCCAGAGCCCTGGATGGGGTCTGACATGGAGTACCACAAAAGTGGTTGGAGGGCTCTGCTCCTTCCCAAGGGCTCCTTGCTCAGCACAGGGCTGGCTGGGAGGTGTACGACTGTGGATTTCCTCCTGGCTCTCTCCCTGTGCAGATACATGAAGTACCTGTATCCCTACGAATGTGAGAAGCGGGCGCTCAGCTCTCCCGGAGAGCTCCAAGCTGCTATCGACAGCAACCGTCGGGAGGGACGGAGGCAGACTTTTGGCACAGCACTCTTCAACTACTCGCCAGCCAGCACCCCAACCCTGCTGGGCACCCCCAAAATGCCTCTGCCAGCTCTTAGCATCTCCACACACAGCTGTGGCCAGCTCAGCCAAGTGCACAGTGTTAAGAAAGGTGGGTGAGGATCCCATCCTCCCAGAGATGAACATTGGCATGTCATCCCTTCAGCAGCAGGGATGTTCCCTCTCTCTTCTTGCCCTTTTTGCTTGGGGAAAATAGGAACCATGTTGTTCTTTTAGTCCCTTTCAGGGAGTGAAATGACTGTATTTTCACTGGTTTTGGAGAAGGACCAAGCCCAGATGTTTGGAGTGGTGGCCTGCCCTGCCCCATTGCTGGTGGGGTGGAGTTGGTACCAGTAGGGACGGTAAGGTGGGTGGTGATGAGGGACCTACTGAGCTCTCTTGGTCATTGCAGAGGATGGAATGCTGGCAGCATCAGTGCCTGGGCGCATCACTATCCCTGTGGGACTGGCTGGCCAGCATCTCACAGCAGCCCAAGCAGCAGCTGCCTCACAGGCAGTGGTGCTGGAGCAGCTGCGGGAAAAGCTGGAGACAGGGGAGCCCCCAGAGAAGAAGGTGGCCCTGACAGCGGAGGAGCAGCAGCGGCTGGTGCAACATGCACTTCAGCACAACCTCCTGGCCATGGCCTCCCAGTTCCCCATGAACATCAAGATCTCCAACCGAGGTAAAGAGATGCAGCAGCTCATCCTTGGTCATCCCTTTCTGTGTCACCCAAGGTGGGAGCAGCAGCAGCCACTGGAGAAGAGTATGGATGCCCAGAGGGACTGCATCCCGGCTTATCTGACTCGGACAGGTTCTTGTTTCTGTTTCGCTTAACACTCATATTGGTATTTCCTTTCCCCAGATGACAGACAGGAGACCGCATTGAACCTGTCCACCAACAGCATTAGCAGTATCAACATGTCAATAGAAATAAATGGAGTTGTCTACACAGGTAAATAGAAGGGCCGCTTGGCCCGTGTAATTGCGGCCGGGAAATCCAATAACTTATAGCCACTGCCTGGCCAGCAAGTCCTTCCTTCAATCTGATGTCTTTACTATAAAATCCATCGTAATGAAGTGGCAGGGCTTGGGGAGAGGGGGCAGGAGGAGGAGGGGGTGGACAAGGATGGAAATTGGCCCAAAGCAGGTGCTAGTAATGAAAGGCTAAAGTAGGGGTTGAATAGATGGACAGATGGACAGACTCTGGCTGAGAAGTGACCCTGCGTCTAGGGTCATTCCACACCCCAGGGTCCTGGAGGCAGGGCATGGACTGGGGGGCACCCCTATGCTTGTGTGCCCAGAAGGTCTCGGGCTGGGTGTGGGGATTGGGTGATTGCAGAGCTTTGTGCAGGGAAAAATGTTGGGGTGCTTTGGTGGAGCAGAGGGTCCTTTGGGGTGCCAATGTGCATGAGCCTGGCTAAGCAGCCCATCCCATGCCCCCCAGATCCATGCCTGTCCTGCTGAGACATCCTACAATTAAAATCAATGGCTTTGCCTTCAGAATTTAAATATTTAACGAATGGGAAAGGTCAGGGCTAAGCATCATGTGGGGCTGCCAGCCAAATGGGCCCTGGGCCACCCCACAGGCTGTCCCATGCAGGGAAGGATGACTGGGTTGGGGGAGACACCACAGCTGATGAGAGGGGGCTTAAGCCCCCATGAGTCTGGGTTCTGCACTCCCTAGCCTGAGTGCTGGGGGCCAGGTGAGCTGATCCTCCAGCCCTGGGCTTGCTTTAACTGGCTTGTTCTTGTCCCACAGGTGTCCTGTTTGCCCGCCGGCCCTCAGCCACCCTGGCACCTGGTGGAGGGAGCACCCAAACCCGTCCAAACCCCATGCCTGCCCCAAACCCCCTGCTCCCAACCTCCTCTCAAAGCCACACTCCCACTAGCTCCTCTCCGTAAGGCAGATGTGCCCCCACCCTGAAAGCAGCTGGGGGTGCCCACAGTCTGGGGTCTGAACTGTGGGACCCACTGGACCACCAGGGTGGGATGGGGGACCCAAAGGTGCCTCTTGCTGCAATACTGAGCTGTGGCCATGCAAGGCTGTGAACACCCATGTGGACCCTTTTATCCCTTATCCCCACATGTGCCATCTGACAGACACACACACACACACACACAAGTTTCTTCCCAAGTCACCACCCCCAGGTGACCCTCCCATACATCTCCTGCTGCCCTGATGCCTGGGGGACCCCCGGGACCTGCATGCTGCATCCCCTACATCCTGCAGCCCCTACCCCACCTCAGTGCACACACTGCTGCCCCTGTACACGCCTCAATGCATTCACTGTATTCCCTGCACACGCCCTTGGTGCCCACTTTACCTCTCCATACACACCCTCCGTGCAGGCATGATATGCTGCAGCCCCTGTAAATTGTAGCCCCTATACTCTGCAGCCCCGATATATATACTGCACCCCCTACCCACTGCAGACGCCCCTACCCAGTCCTCCTGTGCTGCCTGGGCTTGCTGTCCCTGCCCTGAGACACCCACAGGGTGGTGGCATCTGAGCCCCCCAGGTCCTCAGCTCAGGGGGATCACCCTGGGGGGGGGGGCAAATAATGGGGATATTGGTGGGAATGGTGGGGGTGAAGCTTATTGGGGTGTGGCTGGGGTAGGGGGTTTATGTCGGGGTGGGGTTTGTTGGTGGGGGAGGGCAGGGTTGCCCAGTAGAGCCCCCCCCACCACCACCAAAGACTGCTTGGGTGCCAGGGTCTCCGGTTGGGTGACAGGGAGACAGAGGGCACTCTGAACTACCTCGTTGGGCTGGGCGGGCGCCTCCTCCATCCACGTGTACCCCAGGGTGCCAAAGCAGGTGAGTGTGGAGCGACGCTCACCTCTACCTCAGCACGGGGGCTCGGCAGTGCTGGCCTGCTCCCCGCACTCCCACCACAGCCACGCAACTCCATGTATCTATTAAAGGAAATTAACTCCTGAACCAAAACAGTGCTGAGGGTTGTGTGCAGGGCATGGTGCCACCCACCGAGCCCCGGGGCCCAGATGGAGGTGCAGGACATCCCAACAGCCAGTGATACCCTGGGGTAACACCTGCGGTGCCTGAAGTTTCACAGCCCAACTTATGCTTGCCTCCAGCCCAGCTTCTGAGTTACAAACAAGTGCCCTATGCCCTATGCCTATACAAGAGCTCACAGACGTGGGCTGGATCAGACAGGTCACCAACTCCAGCTGTGCCAGCCAGGCTGTCCGTGAGCCTGGCTGAGCCCCCATAAGCACTCAGTGGCAGCTCACCCGTGGGTGGGGATCCCATTAGGCTACCCTGTGCAGGAAAGGAAACATGACACGAGCTGCTGAGACCATGTCCACGGGGGTGTCAGTTTGGACCTGGTGAGATGCCAGGAGTGATGCACCTGCCTGGTACATGAGCAGTGCCCACAGAGGACACAGGTGATGATTGTGGAGCTGGGAGGCACACACATAGGTGGGTGGTCATATGTTCTCCCTTGTACAAACTCAATGGCGTGCACAGTGAGACTGTCACACTCATGCCCACACATGGACTGCCATGCGTGTGCAGCCACCTGAGCATCTGAACAGGCACAGGGGCTCCCGTGGGGACAGACACTCTGGCTAGAGGCAACGACGAAGATAGGTCCCTGGCACCCAAGGGGACAGAAACTCCTGAGTCCCCCCCACCCCGAGGCCAGACTCAGACCCCTGGGGACACACAGCTTCTCGGGAACAGCTGCTGTTCCTCAGGTTCAGCCCCTCGAGGACAGCCCCCAGTCCTCCCGGAACAGACCCAGCCCCTCGAGGACAGCCACAACCCACACTCCCGCTGACATCCCCAGCGCGGATTCCCAGGGCAAGGGAACACCCCCAGTCCGGATCTCTGAGCCCACCCGGGAGGGGTGTCGCTGTCCAGGGTGCTGCAGCAGCGCTGCCCGTCCGGACTCAGCCTCGGGACACGGGGGTGACACGGAGGGTGGGGTGTCACGCTGGAAACGTGTTGAGGGCATGGGTTGACACCCCTGCAGAGGACCGGTGGTCTGGCGGGTCTACCCCTGTGGTCTGGCCACTGGGGATGGAGGAAGGTTCATGGACAAGGCGTGTGTGTGTGCGTGTCGGGGGGATTTGTTTGTGAGTGAACGAAGCAGAGCTGGAGTGGGATTGACGCAGCCTTAATTGCAGTCTTGTGTCCCTTTGCACTGCCGTGAAGTGCTGGCCACAGCTCATCGAGCACCACAGCCCCAGGGAACCAGCAGGGCACATGCGGGCCCCGTCCCCACTCATTACCAGGCTCAGAGGGTGATGTGTGTTTCCGTACTCCCTGGGGAGCTTGGGGACACAGCTGCTGTCACCTGAGTAACCAGCCGTGATTGATGCCTGCTTCCCCATGTCCTGCAGGGACTGTAATTGAGCAGGAGAGAGAAGTTGGAGGATGAGGGGACAATACAGCCCAGCCGATGGAGCATTGAATCCAGTTTCAGCACTGAGCCGAGGGCAAGTGATTGAATCTGTGTGCCCCTGCAGGCTCCAGGGGATGTGGTCAAAGGCCTGCTTCTATTGCCAGGGAGCAGGGAACAGGTTCCATGTGCTGGGCTGTGGGCAATCAGTGCTGTAGCTGCAGCTCCATTCCCAGGCTTGCAAACTGGACAGAACTCTAAAGGGTGGATGGGGATAGTCCCAAAGCCCCCAGTGCCTGAGGCCCAGGACTGCCTGAGTTTCTCAGCTCAGGGTACTGGGTGGTCTGGGACCCTCTAGTACAGGTATTTGTGTGTCTGGGGCATTGTCCATCATGCTGGGCTCAGGCCACAGTAGAGATGGTGCCCTCTAAACACAGACCATCGCTGTGTGCACAGACCCTGGCCCTCCTGCAGCCCCTGGCCCCTTCTGCGGCCCCCAGGTGCTTCTGCTAATGAAGCCATTTCTATTTGTTGCCTTTGTGGAACAAATCTCAGCTCTTCACCCTCTGAAGATCCAGTTATCGATCCCTTGGAAGAAAAGGCAGCATACAAGAAGCCTCAGCCTTCCCCTGCTGCCTAAGTGCTCTGCATGGCTCCTGCAGGTGATTTGGGGGAGCATAAGGGCTGCTGAGGCACTGGGCCACCCCACAGCTCCCTCCTGCACCCTGATAGACCTGTACAGTGCTCAGTAGGAATGTACCTGTAAGGACAATGATTTTTCAGGGCACAGTGGGTTTAGCTTTCAGCAAAGGGCAATGGGAGGGTTCCTTAAAGCCATGCCTCCCACATTATCGGTGATGTTAGCAAAATACCTGCAGCTGGCAGATGGTTTTTATCTAAAGAGTGGCCTGGAACCTTGACTTAATGTTCCCTTTTGCCTGGGCTATGGCAGTGCAATACCCAGGCCCATGTTCATCCTGGCACTGCTGAAGTCATCAGTACAAGATGGGACTGAGCCCTGGGATACAGAGAATGACATCAGAATGTGCTTTGAAAATTCACAGAATCACAGAATCATCAGGGCTGGAAGGGACCCCTGGAGATCACACAGTCCAACCCCCCTGCTAAAACAGGGTCACCTGGAGCAAGTGACACAGGAACACATCCAGGTGGGGTTGGAATGCCTCCAGAAAGGAGACTCTACAGCCTCCCTGCACTGCTGTTCCAGTGCTCTGCCACCCTCAGGATAATGAAGTCCTTCCTTCTGTTTTATGGCCATTGCTCCTCATCCTGTCACAGGGCACCACTGGAAAGAGTCTGGCACCGTGCCCTCTGACACCAACTTTTGGTATATTTATATGCATTCATGAGATCCCCTCAGTCTTTTCTCCAGACTGAACAGGCCCATCTCCAGCAGCCTATACGCAGAAGAGAGATGCTCCAGACCCCAGATCATCCTTGTGGCCTCTGCTGGACCCTCTCCAGTAGCTCCTTGTTTTTCTTGTGCTGAGGAGCCCAGAAAGGGACAGAGCATTTGAGGCGTGCCCTCACCAGGGCTAAGTAGAGGGGCAGGATCACCTCCCTTGACTTGCTGGCCACCGTCTGCCTAAAGCACCCTCAGATACTTTTTGCTATGTAGCTGGGAAACCCGCTGGATTTTTTTTCTGTGGCAGATGCAGCTACAATGAATTAATTTTATCCCTGTCAAAAATCTGTGTAATTGTGAGTGCCAGTTGAAGCCAGTGGCACGGCTGGTGTTTGCTGCACCATTCATTAGTAGTTCTCTTCTTCACGAGTGTCACCTGTGGCAGTCAATAACAGAAAGGTGAGCGCGGGCACACAGAGGCCTGGGGGAAAGCCGGTGGCAGCCTCCCGCATTTCAAAGGGCCTGCATCCACACGGATCGCTATATCAATTCCTTTTAATACATCTGAGCGCCCCTTTCCTGGAGGACCACGCCGGAATGAAGCGGCCATCGACTGCCTTCCGAGGCAGCGGGAGGGCTGCACGCCTCCCTCTGCAGTGCAAATCGCCATCGACCGCGCCGCATCCTCTGAGAGGGGCTCCGCGCCGCCAGACGCGGCCTCCCCTCCCGTCTCCATGGCAACCGCGGTCCTTAGCAACGCGCCGCCATAGCAACCGCCGGGGCGCGCCGGAAGTGAGGCGCGGCCGCTTCCGCCCGGCACAAAGATGGCGGCGGGCGCTGCGGAGCTGCGGCGGCTGCAGTGGCGGCTGGAAGAGCTGGAACAACGCGTCGGCCTCGGCGGCTGCGGGCCGCAAAAGGTGCTGGGGGGGAGCTGCGGAGAGCGGCCGTTTGGTGCGGTCCGGCGGGGCCTGGGGTGCCGCTGCCCGGCGGGGCCTGACAGCCCCCTCCCCTCCCTCTGTGCCTCTGCAGGTGGCGGACGAGCTGGTGAAGGTGCAGGTGGCGCTGAACAATATCGCCGGCAAGAGGGAGAGGATCAAAATCCTGTTTAAGAAAAGTGAGCGGCTGTTGCGGAACGGGAGGGATCGCAGAGGGCGGGAGGAGAGAGCTCCAAACAGTTTCACTGCTCTAAACAAAAATACCTTCCCCACACCTTTTTGGCTTGGGCGCTTATTTCAGTTTCTTTGGCGCAGAAATAAGTAACTGGGAGAGGTTTATGTGCTTGCGATCCTCCAGCTCAGCAGTCGGGATGGGAAATGGGCGGCTGGAGCCTGTTATTTGCTCAATTTCCATCTGCCCATGTCAGGATCTGCTCTGCATGAAATGCTGGTCTTGTGAATGCCATAACATCTCCCTACTTTTTGTCTCCAAACCTATTTATCCCTCCAGTTGAAGATATAATAAAATACCTTGACCCCCAGTACATTGACAGGATGGCTGTTCCAGACACTATGAAGCTGCAGTTCATCTTGGCAGGTATGGGATGAGACGAGGGGAAACAGGAGGCTTTTGTAGCACTGCAAAAAAAGCGTCCTTTAGCTAAGATGGGTCAGGATGGATTTCTTTTCTTCATTGGTAAAATGTGGCACGGCAGGCCCTGTGGAGGTATCAGAGAGACGGTTTGTACAAGGGTGTCTGTCACCCTCGGTGCTCCCTTGTGCACAGTCACACTGCAGTTTTGTCAGCTCTGATCTCTCCTGTATTGATCATTCACTTTAGCCCCAAATTAATCAAAGAGTAGTAAGAAAAGCTGGAGCTAGAATGGTTTCCTTACCCCACTTCAGTATTCTCCAGGCTGGGACAATTGGGTGTATTTTGACATCCCCTATCCTTGTCCTCTCTTGACCCAAGGAGTTTGATCAACCTGTGACCAGTATAATCTGTGAATGGAATTCCATTGAATCATGGAATGTTAAGGGGGTGGAAGGGAACTTAAGGACCATACAGTCCCAATCCACCCTCCCCAACTTTCCCAGGTTGCTCAGACCCCATCCAGCCTTTCCTTGAACACTGCCAGGGATGGAGCATCCACATCCTCCTGGGCAGCCTGTGCCAGTGCCTCACCACCTTCACAGTAAAGAATCTTCTCCTAATATCCAGCCTAAATTTCCCCTCTTTCAATTTGTACACTCCTTGTCCTATCATTAGAACTTGGTGGAGATTCTCCTGCCTGAAATTGGTGTCAGTCAAGACCCAGGGATGAGCAGCACAAAAGTGATGAAAAATCATGAACTAGCTCCTTTCTGTAAAGACAGATCAGCTGGAAAAATTACCACTAGTGAAAAGCCAGAGCAGTGTTTTGTGTTTACTGATGTTGCTTCTTGTCCCCACACAACCAGAGGAACAGGCTATTCCTGCCCGTGCAGCCCTTCTGGAGCAAGTGAAGAACCTCCAGCCTATCTTGGACAGCACCAGTATCCAAGGTATGCATGTTCTGCAAGCTGGAGCTGCAAATGCCACCTGCTAAGCTGTGGCCTGTCCTGCTTGCTTTCTCTTCTCTTGAGTCTGAGACTAGAGAAGAAGACAGCTTAGTGGTGTGAGAGTAAACTGAGTACAAACTTAGTCTGCTCCTGCCTCATGCTGCCCTAGTCTCCCTTGCAAAGTCATGGAGGTGATAGAGTAGCTTGTGAAGCAGGCTAAAGAGAGCACTGTGGCAGAGAGGGTGGAGCCTGGCAGGTCATTCCTTCCTGTGAGCTGTTTTACATCCAGAATATCTCTGTTCTGGCCAGTGGTTTACTCCAGTGTATTTCTTGAGTAGCCCTCGCTGTGGGCATCCCTGAGCTCGTGCCATGTGCAGGATAGTTACATATTTTTTTTTTATCCTCTCTGAGTTTTATCTATAGTGTGGGACACTTGCACTCAGCGAGTGGAGTTCTGCCATGCTGTGTTCATGGAGGAAGACTGGGCTTTACTTTGGGAGCTAATCCCATGTGCTGTAAAACAACGCAAACTGATTTCTCTTTTGTGCTTCCAGCGGTTCCTGACCATGCAGCCAAACTGCAGAGGCTCTCACAGATCCACATACAGCAGCAGGTACCGTGAATATTCCTATAATATTGACTAGAAGGGCCTAGGAACCTTTTACAAGTGGTTGTACTGACACCCAGTATTTGTAATTGCTTGAATTGCTCATTTATGGCAATTCTTTGCAATCTGAATTTTCATACTACGATCTTAAAAAAGTTTTAAGCACTCCAAGGGGAAAAAGGAGCCAGGATTTCTGTGAATTTCGTCCAAGTTGGAAATTTGCCCACCATACCCTGCTCAAAACAGCTTTCAGTGACACACAGTAAGGGACATTTGGTTTAACCATCTTGTATTCCCCCTTTTACTGAGACACTGAGGTGAAGCATTGCTCTCCTCCAGTGTCCTACTCTCTGGAACATTGTTGACACTGTCAACCTGTCCCTTTACCTTTTCCCTCCCTGTATGAGCACTCTTGGAGCTGTCAGTCAGCAGCCTGGGCAGTTCCTAATGGTCTCTTTCAGCATTTTGCTGTGAGTTTCTGTTCTGGGGCAAGCAAAGCCTGGATACTGAGGAAAGGCAGGCAGCAGTGCAAGCCTGGGGGTTTTGCTGCTTCATGGGACCAGTGTTTGTCACTTTTCTCTTAATTGTGGAAACCTGTCCAGCTGCAGTGAGCACCACAGCCAGGGCCTGAGCACTGATCTCAGTGCTGGCCTTGGATGAGTTTCCTGCCGTGCTGGCATGGACTGAGAAGGGAGGAATGTTGTTCACCTTATTTATTGGTCATGCACTGCGGCTCCCCTCTTCACAGGAGAAGCGTCACGATCTCACTGACAGTGTCAAGACACTCCTTGAGGATTACAACAAAATGGTATCCTTTGAAATGCCTGGAACTCCTGAACTGACTCCTTCCCCTGTCTGATCCCATTGCGTCTCCAGCCTGGGGTTTAACAGCCTTTCTGATGGGGTGACACCTATGTCCCTGTCCTGGCTGTGTATGATCCCAGTGCTAAGGCACATCCCAAAGCCACAGTGGGTAGGGAAGCTGTGTAGAAAGCCCTTGCATGGTGGTAGTGTGTGGAGTTCACAAAGTACCTCCTGGACTCCCATGGGTGTATGGGGCTGTGCAGTGGCTCAGCCACTGGGTGGAGTGAATCCATGAAGTGCCCTGGTGCCCTGGGCTTCTCCTAAGGAATCAGGATTGTAATGGTGCTGTCAGGATGCTCTGACCTAGGTTTCTTCCTCGCAGTTTCCACATAACTTTCCTTAAGTGTCGTGTCCAGACCTTGCTGCTCTCCAAGCAGTTTGTGCAGTGGAATGAAATCCTGACACGTCTGGAAGTGGCCAAACAAGCAAAACCTGTGGCAGAGTGATGGCAGAGCTGGGAGCATGGCATGACCAGAGCCCCTGTGGCACAGCTTGCATCCTGCTGGTCTCAGCTCCTTCCTGCTTGGTGCGAGCATGCTGAAGTGACACGGCAGGATCGTGGAGCACCCAGCTCTGTGCAGAGCTCTGCCGCCACCAGTCAAAGCCACACTGCTTCTTAATCTGCCACTGTTTGCAAATCTTTTATTTCTCTGAAATGCATCTCAGTTTTAATGTATTTCAAAACCCCATTTCTGTGCTTACTGTGGGCCATAGTAAAGTCCTGGAGTGCTAACTGGGTTGTCTGTCTCTCTGTCGGTGTGAGGACTGCTCCTGGCACAGACTGAGGATTTTTCCCCAGGCGGTGATCTCTTTGCAGCCTCCAGGAAACGGGCAGTGGTTCCTTTCAGCCTTCAGCCAAGGGCAGGGAAACCATTTCCACACTCTTCCTGTTTGTGTGAGTTGTCTGCCCAGGAGAATCTGGTCTTATGGAACTCTTCTGCCTTGCTGTTCTCCTATCTGTGTGCTGAGAGAAGACAGCAGTTTTTGCCTTTATCCTGTCTCTGCTTTCCTGAGGCTGCTGCAGTCTAAGGCCCGTTTTGGGTCTTTGCCTTTCCAGAGGGAGGCATAGGCCATGCCTTGCCTGGTCTGACTGTAGCATGGAGTTTCCAAGGCCATAATTTTGCAAGGGTCTCAAACCCTTCAGGCTGCTGAAACACTGCCCAGCTGAGTGTGACCTTGGGAGTCCTGCAGGAACGGGGCAGAATGCCCGCAGGAATTGCAGAAGAGCTCGCCGGTCCCAGAGCTGTCTCTGATCAGCAACCTCGCTGGCTGTCAAACCACGGTGGGGCAGCCGGCAAAGCTGTCGGAAAAGCGCCGCTCCCTGCAGCTGCCCGAGGACTGAGGTGCGGGTCCCCCGGCGGGCGGGGACGCCGCGCCAGCGCGCGGTGCCGGCAGCGCGGCCGTGCCGCTGGGCGGGCCCGCAGCTCGCCCCGCCCCGCCCCGCCCCGCCCCGCCCTGCTGCGCGCCCGCGGCGCCATTGGCGGGCGTGCCCAGCCCTCGGGCCCGCCCGCCCGCCTCGCGCTTGCGCGCGCCCGGCGCCGGCCGCCATCTTGTGTCGAGGGGCGCGCTGAGGCGGCCGCAGGTGAGCGAGGGCTCCCCACGCCCCACCGGGGCCTCCCTGACTCCCACCCGGCATTCCCGCATCCCACCGCGCTGGTCCGGCTCCTCCCGGGGCCCCAGGCACCGGTGGCGGCGGCGGCCGTGTGAGGGTTCGGGCCTCGTGTGCTCCCAGGGTTCGGAGCGGGGTCTCCGTTCTGCCGTGTGCCTGAGGACGATGCGGTGCGGGGTGCAGGGTCTGAGTGCAGCGGGACTCAGGAGCCTGCGGGTAACTAAGTACTGCGACCTTCAGCCCCTTGAGCTGTGCGGTGGGGACGTGGACTGCCCTGCACAGGGTCAAGCAGACTTAGGTCAGGATGGCATCTGCCTTGGCAGAGATGGCAGCTGTGAGGCCTGGCCTTTCTGTCTTTCCCTCGAGGAAACATTTTTTTATTCCTGCAACCCCTGGCTTGCCATCTCCCTTGTGACATGCAGTCTTTTATCCTCAGCTAGACTGGTCAGGTCTCCATGAGCCTGTATTTGTACACGACCTGCTGCATGTAAACTGAGCTTGAATTCGTCCTGTGCATGTTCTGGTGCAGGTGTGGCCAGCATCCCCGAGTTCTGTCGTCAGTCACCCCAGCTCACTTTTTGTTCTGTCTTCTCTTGAGACACAGCAGTGTTTTTCATGTCACCATGCTTAAGCCCACAACACTAACACTGCTTTATTCACAGCCTGCTTGCCAAAGCTCAGGCTGCCCTGTGGTATCATTCATATTGTAGGTATGTCCTTAAGAGGACTGGGCTAATATTTTGGTTGTCCCTTTCCAGGATTTCCAACCCTGATAGTTCAGAGCACCCTTCAGAGGAAAGCTTGTGGCTGTGATGATAGTTTCTTTGGGCAGCAACTAGAGTGGGCTGGGTGTTCATGGGTCTGTTTTCCTTTTCAGCATTGCAGAATGGAGAACTATAAGAAGACCAAAATTGTGGAGAAACCTTGTCCTCCTCCTTTCACTGACCTGCCTGCTGATATTATTGAAATGAAGGTGAAGGATGGGAGCAAAATTAGGAATCTGATGGGCTATGCCATGAGCAAGATGGAGCAGGACTCAGTGAGGCAGATTCTTTTCACTGGCTCAGGCAAGGCTGTCAGCAAGACCATCACCTGTGTGGAAATCATGAAACGAAGGCTCAAGGAGCTGCACCAGATCACCAAAGTGCTCTTCAAACAGATTGAAGAAATCTGGGAACCCATTGTGCCTGAGGCAGGCCTCGATGCCTTGACAGTGAAGAGAAACATTCCTGCCATATGTGTCCTGTTGAGCAAAGATGCCCTGGATCCTCAGGAGCCGGGATACCAGGCCCCAGGATCTTTTGATGCCTTCTGGACTGAGACATTGAAAGCAGAATCGCAGGGCCAGATGAAGAGGAAGCAGGGTGGAGGCCGGGGAGCTGCCAGCACAGGGAAGCACCCTCGCTCCACTGGGGGAATGCCGTGGGGGCCCTGAGGCGGCAGCTCCGCACGTGGTTCAGGGGAGCTGCAGAGACCAGCCCGGGGCTGTGGCTGCACGGCTGCTGCTGAACACAGGGGTTCACAGAGGTGTGAGGGGAGGGCAGGAGGAGCGGACTGTTAAACTGGGTGTGATGATAGCCGTCTGAAAATATGTTTTGACAAGTTCCCTTGCCGGAGGCTGCCAGGCTGTGCTCCTTAGGGGATCATAGAAGATGGGAATTGCCTCTTGAGCAAGAACGGTTGGTGTACTGTCAGTGAGCCCCATAGAAGGGCTGCTAGCCCAGTGTGGTTTCACGTGCTTGGGCGTGCAGCAGCTCAGGCAGCAGGACAGACACCTGTCTGTGTGCCAGGTGCAGGTTGCTCTGACGAGTACGGAGGGGAGACAGGACCTGATCTGGAATCCCCAGGCAGCTGCCTGCGTCACCTGGGCTCATGAAGTGTACAGACAGCAGGGCACAGGGCTGGGCCAGCCATTTCTGTGCCTGAAGAGTCCTTCTGCTGAGCCTGTTGAGGGGGTTGAATGTAGGACTGCCAGGATACAGCTCTGGCATCATGTGCATGTAGCTCCTTGGCTCAGTAGAGCTGGCAGTCCTGGTTCTCTCTCCAAACAGGCAGCAGTCAACTTGCGTTGTAACCAGCCTGAAATCTTGTGGCTCTGCAGCTGTCCTGGGGTGGTGGTAATGGGAAGCTCCAAAGGATCCTGTTCTTTTCCCTTTGTGCTCCTTGATAATGCACAAAGATGACTTTAAAATAAAGATGTAACTTCATGTAACTTGGATATTTGTCATGTCTTACTCATCCCACTGGAGGTCACCCTGTAAGCATTGGTGGTGGAGTTGTGGCTGCTGGCTCAAGCTCTACTCTTCCAGCCTTCCTGCTGGTCTGTGTTTGTTCCTCTCATGACTGTATATGGACCCTGATCCAAGGGGAGGTTAATATCCAAATATTAACCTCTTTTCACATCCAAAATAGATCAAGGTTCCGGTTTCTTCCTCTGAAGTTTTTTGCTAATTGTTTTTCTCTGCTTTAAAATGGCTGGAACTGCAGCCTCAAAAAGACTCGTCTGGAACTCTGCTGAGTGACGCAGAGGATGTATCGTCTTTTCTTGTGCACTAGTTTCCCTTCTGGAACAGGTCTGGTGAGTAATTCTGGGCCAGAGAGAAGGGCTATTCCTGTGACAGGCTGAGCTCTTGCCTCAGAGAGCTGGCTCATGTCCTGAGCACTCCCTGTGCTTCCCGTGTGCTTGTGCAGGGAGCTCCAGCTGGACCCGCACTCTGCGCTGTCAGTTAAATAGTAGCAACACGAGCATCAAAATAAGAGATTTTATCAAAGTGAGGGGGAGCAGGAGAGGTGCAGTGTGTTACCCGTGCGACCAGACAAGACTCCACCAGTCTGCGTGGCGCACAGACACCTGCTTCGCATCCAAACAAGAGCCCAGTGGGGCCAGGACTGTGCCAGGCTTGCAGGCCTCCTCCACCCCTTCTGGAGGTCTCGCTGCTTCCTGCCCCACTACCTGGAGGTAGTCAGTGAAACGCTTGGACCTGTCTACTGTGCCAGCAGATGCAAGTCCTGGGGACGGGGCAGAGTTATTCTTTTATCTTTGTGCTGTTCCCAGCTGCTGCTCCTTACATCTAAGGAGGAGACTGCTTTTCTCGACTAATTAGCAGATTAGCCATAAATGCCAAGGAAGATGCTTGAGTGTCTGATCAAATGGCTTATGACATTTCAACTGGCTATGTGTCTGTTTATTCAAAACATCCTCTTAGTAGAGAGCTGAGAGCCAGATCTCAGGCAGCCTGTGTAACCCTCTCTCATGGCCATGGCACGTTTAAAGTCACCTCATCAAAGCTGCAAAGTGATTGTTATTTTTGTTTCACTGGAAGTTATCCTCAACTGACGTGGTGGCTCTCCTTTCAGGACTGTACCCAACCATCAAACCCATGGGTTCTGGTCAGTGGAGAGAAGTCCCAGCTCCCTTACAGCTCTGCCCTTCACCTATCCTTCATCCAGCTGCCTCTTCTCCCGTGGGGACACTCCATGTGGCAATGCCTGGCTGCTACAGACCCCCATGTCACTGCTGTGCAGCTGTGTCACCAGGTATGTGTGATGGTTGGATGTTGGCTTTACAGAGCAGTTGCAGGTGCTGATCCCTGTGGGTCTCCAGGAAGTACCTCAAGGGTCCCTCCAGCCCCTCTCCTGTCTCCCAGCCATCTCCTTTAGGTGCCACATCTGTACCCTTCAGTAAGAGTGCGCATCCTTTGGGGTGATGCCCTACACAAGGGCTTATCTGGCTCCAATGCCCGTGTGGAAGCTGGCAGCTGTGCACAGGGTCAGGCTGCCCTGTACCTCAGTTTCCCCACCAGCAGGATGGGGAAGTCGGCTGTGCAGGTGAGGCTGATCTTGCTTGTATTCCCAGGTACTGATTTTCCCCAGATGTCCTGTTTCCTTCTCTCCCAGGGTTGTCATGGGGTCTAAGCCCACCCCAGCCTGCCTGTAGCCCTTGTGACCTGGGAAGGACCCCAGCCCAGCCCTGGCAAGTCCATCCTCAGCATCCTCAAGCCCCGATGTGTGTGGGACCAGCTGCACGTGTGTTCTTGTGTGTGTCCATGTGTTTGTGTGTGTGTGCAGGGGCAGGGCAGGCAGCAGCAGGGAGAGCCAGCCGGTGGGCCCTGGGCACGGCAGGGCAGGGAGCACATGAGGGCAGGCGCAGCCGGACTGGAGGCAGGGCTGCAGTGGCGAGAGGGCAGTACCGGGGGCAGCAGCGGAGTACCGGGACAGTTGTGCTGGCAGTACTGGGGGCATTACCGGGGCAGTACAGGCAGCAGTACTGGGGCAGTACGGCTGGCAGTATTGGGGCAGTACTGGGACCGTACCGGGGCAGTATGGCTGCCAGTACCACAGTAGTACCGGGGCAGTACGGACAGTACTGGGGCAGTACAGGGGCAGTATGGCCGGCAGTACCGGGGCAGTACTGGGGCAGTACCTGAGCAGTACAGACCGACAGTACCAGGGCAGTACCGGGGCAGTGTCAGGGCTGTACCGGGAAGTGCCGGGGCAGTGCTGGGGTAGTTACCGAGGTAGTACCGGGGCTGTACAGGGCAGTACCGGGGCAGTGCCGGGGTAGTTGCCAGGGTAGTTACCGGGGTAGTTACCGGGGCAGTACCGGGGTAGTTACCGGGGCAGTACCGGGGTAGTTACCGGGGCAGTGCCGGGGCAGTATCGGGGTAGTTACCGGGGTAGTTACCGGGGCAGTGCCGGGGTAGTTACCGGGGCAGTACCGGGGTAGTTACCGGGGCAGTGCCGGGCAGTACCGGGGTAGTTACCGGGGCAGTACCGGGGTAGTTACCGGGGCAGTGCCGAGCAGTGCCGCACCGGGTCCCAGGCCGGGCCGGCAGAGCGCGCGCTGCCCGGCGTTGTCCCTCCCCGCCGCTCACGTGGGAGCCGGGCGAGGGGGCGTGTTCCGAGGGAGGCGTTCGGCCAATGGTGGGCGGCGGGCGGAGGGAGTAACCAATGGCGGGCCGGGGGCGCGACGCCAGCAGGGCCCGCCCCCGATGCCGGCGGGAGGGCGCGGGCGGCGCGCGGGGCTGCGGCACCCACGGGCGGCCGCGGCGGGACCGCGCCGGCTCCGAGCGCTCCGCGGGGCCGCGCCGGGGTCGCTCCGAGCCGGGACCCCGCCGCCAACCCGCGCCCAGCGCGGCCCCGGTCCCGGCAGCGCCGCCCGCTCTCCCGCCGGCAACGGGATCCGACGCCGGGGGAGAAGCGGAGGCAGGTGCGTAACGCCGGAGCTCCGCGGCGGGAGGGCGGAGTTGGTAGGACCTGTTGCTGTCCGGTTCCGGGGGCTCCGTGTTCGTCCCGCTCCGCGGCTGTCCCGCTCCGCGGCTGTCCCGCTCCGCGGCGGGCGGGGGATTAGAGGCCCCGGGGAACGCCGCAGCCGGGGCTCTGCCCGAGCCCGCTAAAAAGCACAACGGGGGCTGCCCTGTCCGCCCACCTGCTGCCATTCGGCCCCGACCCCGGCACCGTTTTGGATGAGGGACCTTGCAGCGGCGTCCCGCCGCCAGGAAAAGGAGCTGGAGGATGGAGAGGGGATCCGAGCAGGGCCAGGGTTCTCCGGAGTCACCCAGAGTCACGGGGAGGAGAATTTGGGCTGGGGTGAGGCGACGGGGATACCTCCAGCTTGGTGGCCTAGGCAGGGGATGAGGGCAAAACCAGGGCTGGAAAGGGCTGCTGGAAATGTCCCGCAAACAGCATCTGACCTGGGGGCTGCTGCAGCCTTCAAACTCCAGCAGAGCCCCGTGGACCCTGGGACAGCTGTCCCCTGTCATCCCCACAGCGCACCCTGAGGGGCTCGCAGAGCCTGTCCCTGCATGCCCACGGTGACTGTTACTTTCTTTCTTCCAGGGACTGGAGACAACGAAGTGATCTCTGTGTCCTCACTGCCCTGCAGGGGCAGCTGAGAGAAAGCTTCCCTGTGGTGTGGTGCAGCCCGGGACACAGCAGTGAGCGGCCGAACTGATGGGGTGACACTGTCCCGCTGCCAGCCTGGCCCCATCCCAATCCCACCGCCAGCACCATGGCCATCCCCTTTGTCCCCGGCCAATGCCAGTAGGTGGAAGCTGCACACTCCATTGCTGCCCTGGCATTCCAAGCGTGAGACCAGGCTGTGGGACCTGCCGATTCCTGCGGGACTGTGGCCATGGCGGCTGCTCTCTCCACCGGAGCGATTGTGGCAATTTCTTTTAACTGTGTCATTGTGTTGCTCATCCTCATCCTCTTCCTCATCCTCTGCAAAGCCTGCAGGACCCCCTCATGTCCCAAGAAGACCCCAGCTTCTGATGTGGATGAATCAAGGAATGAAGAGAAGTACCTGCTGCAGCCTTGATCTGCCTGGGGACTGGGGTATCCGGCTGTGTCAAAGGAGTTGCCAGACTGGATGCCTGTGCTGCGACTCGAGTGCTGGACCAGGCACAATGAAAGCTGAGGGGACACCCAACTGCTTACAGGGGCTGTGATGGGGAGCACAGTCCTTTGCCTTTGTGGTTTTGGTGTGTGACGTTCCTGCGAGTGCCCACAGTGATGATGGGGATAGAGGGACAACTAGGTGGGATATGCTATAGGGACAGTCATGCCTGTCCCAGCGGCCACTGAGCACAGTAAGAGCTCTGCCTTCAAGCGCACCCCTCGTTTGGGAAGAGCTTGTGTGCTCTTCTCTGGTGCTCATGGCCTGGGACAGTGACACGATGTGACAGACCTGAGCAAAGCTGGTTGGGCGTCTGGAGAAGGGAGGCAGCAGGACTGGCACAAGTGCTTCTTCCTGAGCAGGCTGGCTGCCCCATGGCAGGGTATGCCCAGGGAAACCTGAGCAGCCCCAGCCCTGCTGGCAGAGCAGGGTGTTGCCAGTCCAGATGCGCGGGGGTGGCCCTGGGTGCCATGTGCCCTCAGCCTCAGGTGGGCCTTTGGCAGATGTCTGACCAAGCAGCGGATTTAATGAGGCACAAGAAGGCCTGCACGGTCTGCCTGATCATCCCCGGCCTGTCTGTCAGTCCCCTGCAGCATTAGCACCAACGCTGCTAGGCAAACGACCCTCCTCCTCGCTGGGTGCATATCCCTGCCCTCCCCCCAGCCTGCTTCCAGCCGAGGTCAGCCGTAGTATTCACCCTGCCTGTGAGCAGCAGATGTGCCCTTGCAGGCACCCCTGGTCCCGCTGAGAGCAGCCTGGTGTGGGTTTTCCTGGGGAGATGAGGGTGCCTGGACAAATAGCTTTGAAAGTTCTTT